TCTTTAAACATATTACCAGTAATTTATTATTGTTACAACTGAATAATGAAAAAATGTAAAAGAATCTTACAAATAATGATCTTTTCTAATCAAAGACTATATTTTAACTTAAGATTAATTGAAATTTTTATCTTTTTTTAAGTTTATATATATATATAAGTTGTTTATCAAAAATATAAAAAAATATTTGTTTACATCAATAAATTGTAATTTAACAAAGAATCTAGACAACAATACATAATCTAAAAGTATAAAAAAAAAAGCATTGTCAGTAAATATATTTTACTCTAAAGAAATTAAAAAAAAAAAAAAAAAAGGAATTGTTTATGTTATTTAATTGTTAATGTTGTTTACATGTTTGTGTAAGGCATCGCATTGCTCGCTTCTCATTTTGTTTAGGTTAGTTGTCTAACTAAAAGTTTATAACTGTAATACAAAGATAATGTAACATGGTTTCTAATCAATGTAGCACGTTCAGGGTTTTGAACCAATTGATTATGCCAACCAGCATCACCCCTTGGAAAAATAGAGAATAAACCATAGGCTCTAATTTGGCAGATTTACTTGATATAGTTTTAAGAGGATGACCTCTTGGGAAAATAACAACTTCCCTTGAAGTAGGTGGAGCACCATCTTCACCAACAAATACAACTGCAACTTCATTATGTGAAGGGAGATTATAGTGATGTTTATCTTGCCCTACAGGTAAAGACATTTTTACAACTGAGACGAACTTCTTCATCTTCTACTTCAGCCATGTTTTTAAATACATGAGCAAATGGGTTCTCTTCACTAATAATAGTTTGCAATCGAAACATTAAATCATTTAAGCAAAGATCATTACCAGGATGTTGCATTTTAAAACTTCCTGCTGTAGGTGGATCATAGATGTAGTTGACAATATGTTGGCGGAACATCTTGATCTGGCCTAAGATTACCTACATGATGAAAAACTTGATTGCATATTCTAAAACATGGCAGCCAATAATTCATAGGTTGAACTACATTAGCTGTAAATGAAGCAAAAGAAAGACAGACATAATTTTATAATATATATTCACTAAAAGCCTACTACTAATATAATTAGTAGTAGGCTTTTATTGAATATATATATAATTCAGAGTAGTAGGCTTTTAGTGAATGATTAAAAGCAGTGAGGTTTAATAATGAAATTACCTATTTATCATTTTTAACAATAGATACCTACGTGAAGGTAAGCCAAATGTCTATCAACTCAAAAGATTACAAAAAAACTACATCACAACAACAATAGCACACACCATAAGTTAATATAATATGCATATAACATAACTTAAGAAACATAACATTCATATATAACAGAACATAAGTAACAAGATTGCACAAAGTGTTATTAAAAAACAGTATTATGTATTTTCAGAATAATTAGTAATAAAGGCTTAAAAACAACTAGACCTAAAACAGTAACCGTTTTACATTGAACACTGCCGTGTAACCCTCTGCTGTAAGTACTTGCTTTGGCGAGCAAGGTTGACAAATCTTGCTCTACACATTTACCAAGTCACAGCACTTTGAAAACATGAAAACAACATAATATAAACATATGTACCAACTATAAACACAATATATATATATATATATATATATATATATATATATATATATATATTTAACCTTATATAAACAATTTTGAACACATTTATAAAACAATTATATAACACATATTAACTCATAAAAACTACTTTAAAAACGAAAGCAAAACGGCATTGAACATTCACATTAGCAATTATATTAAGATTATTGTTGAAATTTGTATTTAAAGTTATAATCAAAATTGTAATTTTCATTGTATTTAGTAATTTTATTTATCATTCAAAATATCTAGTTTTATTATTCTATAAGTTAGAAAGTTTCATAAAACCATTTTGTTAAACTTTTGTTTAACATTTTAAATATTTTGCTAGTTAGGTGCAATAATTTGCATTACTTTTTCCTTATCTAAAATATTTGTTTCATTTATCAAATGTCCAGGTATAATAACAGTTTCTTCCATAACTGAAATTAACAAAATTTAAAAAATTAAGAATAATATAAGTTCAATTCTGTACAATAAGTTATATAACCTTTAGTCATCTTATAAACATAAACAGTAGTAATGCTGTCAAAATGTGGTTGTTAGTACATTTCATTGTTAGTCATTTATTTCTCTAGTTATTGTGTGTTTTTATTAACTCATAAATACTAATGTATATTTAATTCATGGCCTTTTTTTCATTAGTATTAATTTATTCAATTAGGTTATGTAAATTTATTTTGTCAATTTGTTTCATTAATTCAAACACTTTGATTAAATCACCGCCTTCTCCTGTTTTTTAATGAGGTTACTTTTAGTAGAGAGGGGGGGGGGGGGCAAAATTCTATATTTCTTGTTTAAGCAGTTATTCTTAATTAATTTTTTGAGAAAAATTCAAAAAACAATTCAGTTTTTGCTAATTTTTTATGGTTGACCTACTACTTCTGTTTTAAAAATTTAAAGATATAAAAAATTAAAGTCTTTGCAAAAGTTTCTTAGCATATAAAATTACGAAACTTTTCTTTCAAATTTATGTTATTCAAATTTTGATTGGATAAATTTGATTTTTAATCATTGCGTTTTAGAAAAAAAAAGTTTTACCTAAAGTCTTTTTCTAAAAAAATGTTTTAAATAAGTAAAACAACAGATTGCTTCAAAAAAAAAGTTTTATCTGAAGTCTCTTTTTAAACAAAACATTTTTAGTAATCAAAAAGACAGATTGCTTCAAAATATCTTTTTTTTTTTTTTTTAATCGTTTTTCAAACTATCAAGAAGGCTATTCAATGTTTCATTTTTTATTTTACTTTTCTTTAATGAAATCAAGAATAAATCTTCTTTTAAAGTGCCAGTCAGTAGAAGTTCAGTTAAATTCTAAACGTTTAACAACTCTAAAGATAAACAGGCTAAAGAATACCGCTACTTAAAAGGCTTTATAAAAAACAAACTGGATGATCAAATTTTGAAATTTTCTGCTTTACTAAAAAATGCAGTGAATAGCTAGTTAAAAAATTCTAGAAGCAGTTAATAAGTATACCTCAAAGAAGTTGAATGATTGTATCATTCTTGCTAGAGTATTTTGGCAAAAGTTAGGCTCAAAGTGTTATTATGGATGTAACTCTTTATTTGAAATAAGTTTTCATACAATATTTTAAGGGATTATAGCTACCCTCGTTGTCAAGTATATATATATATATATATATATATATATATATATATATATATATATATATATATATATATATATATATATATATATATATATATATATATATATATATATATATATATATATATATATAAAATTAGCCTCAGGACTTTAAAAAGAAAGAAAGTATTATGCGTTTGGTTGATGATGGAATATGATTAGTATTAACTTTCTAATTAAGTTGTTGCAGTTGAAAGGCTTTGGAAAAAACCCATTTAATTTCAACAGTAGATGTATAATGTTTAATTATTTAAACCATATAAAAAATGAAGGTTTGCGTAGTTTAAAAATATTTTGGAAAACTATTGTCCAATTATTTATCCAAAAAGTTGAAACTATGGAATATAGTTGAAACCAGCTACAAAAACAAATGGATAACGATGGAAGAGCAGCAAACTTTACATCAGGTGTGCAAGATGAGTTCTATTTTAGTTTGATTAAAGTTACAAGGCAGCCCATTTAGCTGTGAACTAGACATTATTGAAGTAGATAAAGATATGTTAAAATGAAAAAAAAATTCAAAAAGTGAGGTTCTTTATTTTAGGGATACAATGTAGGTCATTGTCACGGAGGTCTATTCTGTTTAAATACATGATTGTTAATATAAAAATACAAACCTCCATCTTATGTTTACCAAAGAACACGCTCATAACCTAGATGTTATATATGGAAAGTTCCCACAGCAATCTTTATTGCATATGGTGACTTTAATAGAAATTTCTATTTTCAATAGTAAATAACAAACTGTATGAATTATTTTCATATATAATGCTTAATTTTTTTTGTTACTCATAAGGTATATTATTGATAAATTAAACAGAAAAAGATTTCTATATTTCTACTTTTCTTATATTTCATGATAATAATAATTTCATCTATTTTTAACAATGCCTTTTTTTGTCAATATATTCACTTTTATTAAAATCGAAGTAAAAGGCTAAATAATTAAAATGAAAAAAAGTGATTCTGATTTTCAGAATCAGCATGAAAAACTAATTAAGAAAAATTGGTTAAACTATAAAAAATCTATAAAAAGATGATTATGGAGCTCCCCCTACTTTTAGTTTTAAAGTTCTTTCTTCGTGACCATAACTAGTGTAAACTAAATAATGATATCCATAATATTGGTTCCTGATTTATTAATTTATTTTCTACCAACAATATTCAGTTCTGTTAGTAGTCTTTCCAATGTCTTTCCAACAAGCGAAAATTGGTCCAGTTTGAGCAATACTTGCTTAGTGATATCTATTAAAGATACAAAATAATATTGATAGTCTAACTGATTAACTACTTATAAGTAATTAGATATGAAATAAAGCATTTGTTTTTAATGGTAGATATGGTTTTGATTAATTTAATTAATATACTAATTATTTTACTTAATATACTAATTATTTTAATTAATTTAATAATTATTTTAATTAATATACTAATTATTTTAATTAATATAATAATTATTTTAATTAATATACAAATTATTTTAATTAATATACTATAATTGCAAACTTGTATAAAATCAAATTTGGTTTTATCAATATGTTAATAGCGCAAAATACTTTGTGGTCATATTTATTTTACTGTTTGTAGACTTTTTATAAACTTTTTCATTGTAGCTTTTCAAAAGTAAGTTTTATTTTTACTATAAGAAACAACTAATGACTGTATAATTTGTTTGGTAACTAAATAAAGATACACAATAAATTGTGTTATTGATATAAGTAGTAAATGCTTTTTTTAATGTAGGTAATTTTCCCAAGATAGACAAAGATCCAATTGTCACTGTTGGTGTAAAAGATAAACGAATAAGATTTGGTTGCAAATTCAACACAGTGAAAGATAGCAAGGCACGGTATGAAGTCACCTGGTTTCAAGGTCCTGAAGAAAAACAAATTAAAGGTCCTGAAATTTTTACAAGTGATCAAAATGAAGCTTTTCTTCAAAATACTAATAAATATGGAGAGAATGCTACATTTTGTATGGGCTATAATGTAAGTCATATTTTTATGTTACGCAACTTTTAATTGTTATTATTTATTAAATCAAATTTTCAAATTTAAGTTTTTAAGTAATGTTATTACTTTTGTTTATGATTGTTCAGTTTTATATTAATTATAAGCTAATTTTAATAACTTTTAAAACTTTATTTTTTATTTTTTGCTATTTTAATATCAATTACTTTTAAATAATTTTAATGAGCACCATTATTGTTATTTAGATTTATTGCAAAGTGCGTTCATATTACATTGGAACTGAGAGCCTCAAAAGTCCAGATCGAAAAAGCAATGAGTTCTTTGCAGGATTTCAAGTAAAAAAACTTGTTTAGTATAAAAATTAGTTAAAGTTTAAAATTACAACATGGTTTTGATTTTTGTGAATAACATATTTTATTTTTAGCACTACATTAATCACAGTTTTTTTCCGATTTGCTGGTTTTTTTTTTTTTTTTTTTTGACAATTTTTTTTTGACAATTGCTGATGCAACTACATATTTCAGTCTTGATATAAAAAAATTATTTTTAATGAATAAAGGCTACAAAAAGGGCAAGCCATCCATCCTTATTAATGATAATAAAGACAAACATTTTAATAATTTAAAAAATAGAAAATAAAAAATTTTTTCAAAAAAACACAACCTTCTTACATTGTTTTTATAAATTTACATTTTTGTGTCTCTCTTTCGGGGACATAAATGCAAAAATCATACATAGTATATCAGCATTGCTATTTTGACAACAGCACTGTATTGGAGTTTCATTAGTCTAAAAAAGATTACTATTAAGTGAAAAGAGGGAATCAAGAGTTTTTAAAAAGCGCCCTACTTTAATTTTAATGGGCGGAGTTATATAAATGCCTGAAAACAAAAGTTTTTTTAAGACAGCCTAATATAAAGCTTGCATCATATTTCAACCATTTAGAAACCCATTTTTAAGGTTTCCACCTTTACAATTTATGTCCCAATTTTTTTAACTGAAAAACAGGGACCTTAGACACTGAAATAAAGCAGCATTTTTTTAAATGAAATCTAAAAAGATTAAATCAATTAAAAAAAAATTCTAAATCAATTTTTAAAACATTTATTTTACTAGAGTAAAATGGGCAAAAAATATTTTAATTAATAATATGAAAAATTTTAATTAAAATATCTTTATAATATAAAGTGTCTTATCCAGCCAAATTAATAGCATGATTAATGCAAAACTGGTTTTCCATTTCATTTAATTGTGCATATTTTTTCATAATGCTAGCTCCATCTTGTGTCAATGCAAGTATATAACTAAATTTAATACCATACTCCATTAGTTTTTTTTCAACTAATGACTGAACTTTGTATGAATCACATGAGCCTTCTATGTGAATAAGTCCAATTTTATAACGATCTTCTGGTGAATGTAATGTTACATTTAAATACCTTTTGGAATTACAGCTAGTCCATTCATATAATGTTATTGAGAAACGTGTTCCGGATTGAGACATTGTTGTTAACTTATTCTTTATTTTGCTTTTTTCTGTGTCAGCTGAGTGGAAAATGGCTCTTTATTTTTATTCAAATCAATCTTATGTTTTGCTCGAAGATGGTTTGCTAAATTTGATGTATTCCCACCTGCACACTTTAGAACAGAATGGTATATATTGCATTTTTAAACATTTGGTGTTTCCTTTTGAAACATTTTGCCATACTCCTGATTTTTTCATACTTAAGCTGAAAATAAAATTTTGTTATTAATAATTGAACATTAATTTTTATCAATTTACAGTAGCAATATCTTGTTTTATTCGTTATAAATTTAATTTGAATCTAATGAACTTGTATCATCTTTTCTTTTAAGCCTTTTTTTCTCTTCCAATCTTTCTTTGTGGCAACTCAATAACCTATTTTTTATTTTTATACTATTCATAACTGAATATTCTATTCTTAACTAAAAATTATGCATATAACTGTTTACCAAAGTATAATTTAAAAATATACTATGATTTATAATATTTTAAGTAATTTAAGTTAAAGTTATGAAAGTCAAAGTTACAAAAATTATTTTGTTGACAAAAAATTTGCTTTTGTTGTTTCATTATTTTTATTGAGATTGTTATTTAACAATCTCCAATTAAAATAATGAAACAACAAAGTTAAAAATTTAAACAACAAAAAAATGAAAAAATCGTTTTTCCGCACAGCGGCCTTGTTCATCAAGGTTCGTGTTTCGGAGTTATAGAGTTGAGAGAGGGTTATAACCACAAATAAGTAGACTCCTCGTCTGTAGTGGCCTTCTTGGCCTTGAGGAGGTGAATTAAATAAAAAAAAAAAAAAAAATATGTAGGTGAGTGTAGGTTCCAGATATTCTTATAATCATCTCTGATTCACTAATTTCTGGTTCAATTATGCTTACTGATTATATGTAATCTTGGCAGGAGGAGACTTAACTTTGTTCTGATGCTAAAGAATCAGTATTCTCAGTTTGATTTTGTTGCTTAGTAAATGTTAAATCTTTTATTTTATTTTTATTTTTTGGCTATATTATAAATCCTTTGAACTGAGGCAATCCTTTTTTTGAACTATATATATTGTCATACATATTCGTATCCTCTATCAATCCAGGGTTTCTTTACAGCAAAAGATACACAGTTCTGAGGATATTATGCTTTTTCTGAACATCCTGACCTTTTGAACATCTTTTCATTTGAGAAGCATAACTAGTCAAAGTTTTCGTCTAAGTTTTTTTATAGCAGATGCCTACATTATTAGAATTAAGATTTTATAATTCTCATATTCAAATCTGAAATTTATTTACAATAAAAGTATATTAGATAATTTAAAAAAATAGTAATATCTTCAAATAAAAATGCAATTGAAATTGATCTTGTGAGTTTAGATTGCATTTTTTATGTTTTATTTTATCCTTGAATTTCATTTTTTTGTGAAGTTAATTAAAAAGTTGATTATAAATTGTCAATTTATAATCAACCAAATAAATAATTCAAAAAATAGTCATAGTTTTTGTTTATGAAAGACAAGGTTTTAGTTAATTTGTAAGTCATTCTATTTAAATAATTTTTTTTTCATAATAATAAATAGTAGTTTTTTTTTTTTCCAATTATAAAAATTTATATAAATTTTTATAATTGGAACCTCCCAACCAACTCTAAGTTAATAGATAAAAAAAAATCTGTATTTTATTTCAATGTTTAAAGTCCCTGCTAAGTTAAAAAACTGAAGGTTTTAGGGCATAAATAGTAAAAGAAGGGATCTCAAAAATGGGTTTTAAAACTTATTTTTCAGCATGAAATTATTTTTATCTAATAAGTCAATTTAATAATGTTAATTGTAAAAATAATTGTAATAGTAATAATGATAATAGTATGTTGCAAGTTAAAATAGTTGTAACAATTATAATTTTTTTTAGATAACTCCAAAAATATTAGATCTTTCAGAAAAAGATAAACCACAAAAAATTACTATTACATCAACAGTACCAATTGTATGTGGAGATGGAACTGAAAATTGTGAAGTTCTTGTTGAGTTAGGTCAAACCAAAACTGACAGTTTTGTAGATTACTGTACATTAAAATTCAAACCTGGGCCAGCTGGTCAAAAGCAAGAAGTTGAAGTAGTTGCTAAGAGAGATTTTGTTGATGATGGACTTCAAAGGATGTTTTTAAAACTGTTTATTCCTGATCATGTAGATCCAGTTGACTGGAATTGTCATAAAAAAATTACAGATGTTGAGGTATTTTTTTTTGAATTTAAACTAATTTAAATTTTAGAAAAAAATGTTACAAATAGTGTTAGGTATTCTCAAAAATATCCTGTAATGAGAACTTTATTTATAGCATTCTATGGACTCACTCTCTCAGAGATTCCATGTTTAAATGTACTCTGTTAGGAAAAATCTCTCAATTCTAAAAAAGTTAACTTCTAATATGCAACATATTGTTATTAATGCTCAAAAGTGAAGTGAAGATATAAAAGTTGTTAAAAATAATTTTGTTGTAAACTATTTATACATAAATCATCAGAGAGTTATTGTACAACCTTGATCAATTTTCTTACCTGATCATTGTACATGATTGTGATATCTTTCTGATCATGGTTCTAGTTAGTATACATTATCAGGAGGTCAGACCATGTACTATTCTAGTTTAATGATTGCCTGAAAATTCTCAATAGAACATGTTTTTTCTTAGTTTTTATTTTTGCTAAATACACTTTTTACTTAGACTAATATTGACTTTGCTCTCATTTTTGGTTGAAATAGCAAACCAAAAAGAACTGATCATCTGATCTAAACCCAAAAGAACTGATCATCTGGTCTGGTTATTTATATAATAAGAGTCATTACCAAACTTGTATTGAAGCAAGTTGTTTAATGTGAAACTGTTCTTGTCAACAACAATAAAGTTGGAATAATCATTTTATGAAGATGAATTTTGTAGCTTTAATAGCTCTTTATTTAATGGTGAAGCAAAACTCTTTTCTTTGTAATGTTGTTTAGAAATAAAGATATAAAACCACTTTCTTTTTATTTTTCAAGTTGTTTTTATAATAGTGATTATTTATCTTGATTTGCTGATAAGATTATTTAAACAACTGCCCACTGATAAGTTTTTTTTTTCTTTTTTATTTTTATTATGTTTTATTTTTATTGATTTAATTATGGATTTAATGTATGTTTAACAATTCTGGTTAACATAAATTTATTTTACTCATTTGTAAGGCAGCTTAAGTAGCATTATTAACTTTGTTTAACTTTTCTGGTTTTCTGGTTTATGTTTTCTAGTAAAAATTCTAGTTAATCAAAAATTATTTTACTTATTTATCAAGTAACCTGGCTTAATGGTTAATAAGTAACACAATTAGCTAGTTAAGTTTTTAAGATATTTTTCAAAAAGTTTGTGTTTTTTTATAACTTTTTTATAGTTATAATTAAAATTAATTTAAAGTTTATTAATGATGCCAGTTAATTGCAAGTTGTAAGCAATATTAACTCTTTTACAACATTCAAAACACATTGATTTTCTCTGGCAGTTAATATTTAATAAACTAACTGTTCCCTTGTTGGGTTTTTATGCATTTGCGTTAAAAATTCATAACAAACATTCTTTAAAATTTATAAGAAACTTCCAACTGTGTGATGCTTTAATTTTTACTTTTTTAACTGTTGGATCTAAAAATTTCATTTGCATTTTCTCTTCACCCATTCTATAGAAACAACACAGCAACTTTTACAACACAATTATTTTTTGTTATTTTACAATATTTGAATAAGTCTAAAGATATATTTTAGGTGATTTTAATAAATCAAGTAACTTTAAAAAGTTTACACTAATGTTACAAAAGTTTAATCAACAATTGTGTAAAATATTCTTCCTATATTAAAAATATATATAGTTTTTTATTAGTTATCACCCTGCAAGCACATGCTTATTTATTTAGATTTAGTATATATTTAGATTTGTTACTTTCTTATTTTAGTTAATTTAGTGTCACTTATATTCACAATATAAGGTAGGTTCTTATACCAGGTTTAAGTAGTTATTAGGTTGTGCAATATCCAATAAGTATCAATTTCCTAACAGGTTTTTATTAAAAAAATTTGTTTTAATAAAAGTTTTGTTTAACTTAAATTTTTTCAAATTAAGTTAAACAAAAAATATGTGCAGTATAGAAATACTATAATTACTATCTAATAAAAATAATGTAGTATATTGGTGTATTTAAATATATATAGAAATCTTTGGGTTTAACTTCATTGATTTTCAATTTTATTCAAGTACTCATATTGATAAATATTGTTTAGTATTGATCAACTTATTAAATATAAAATTTATTTAATATTGATCAACTTTGATTTATTTGCTGAAAATTTGCTTTTTTTTAAAAAAAATAAATAAATCTCATTTAAACTTAATAGGCATTAGTTCTTTAGTTTTAAATTTTTTTTTTTATTTGACATTTCTACTTCCAACAGACTGCAAGCAACCACTATTATAGTTGGAAGTTATCAGAAGAGAAAGGATGAAGTTTATAGAGCAAGATAGAGATTGACAGATGACTAAAAAGATTGCATATTGTATGAATCAGGAAAGCAAGATGAAGGAAGTGAATTCCAAAGAACTGATGTTCAAGGAAAAAAATTAGACAAATAAGAGTTTATGGAACACTAAGGAACAGTCACAGAAATAGGGTGAGACTTAATTAAATGATGAGTAACATGAGAATGAATTTTAGTAGACAGCACAAGAGCTGGGTGGCCACTGGTCATGAAAATCATGGAATTGTCATGGAGTTTTTTTTGGTCATGGAAAAAGTCATGGAATTCCTAAATTTTTATTGAAAGTCATGGAAAATTTATGAAACTTTTAAAAATGATCTTTATTTTTTTCTACTTGTGATATTTTAGGATGCAAAGAAAAGTACTAGTATATGTTTGTTTAGTCTTTTTTTTTTTTGTTTAAAAAAAAAAAGTTTTTTTCAGACTTACTACTTATTAATTTTTGGTTTGCATGTTTTATCATGACAACCTTGCAAATGCTTAGTGCATGGCAAGTACTAAATATTTTACTTTAGTGATTTATCATAAAAGTTTATAAAGAGTCACAGAAAAGTAATAGAATTTCATCCTCAAGTTTGAGCGGCCACTCTGAAAAGAGGCTAGCTCTTTAGAGCAGTGCCCATTCTAGTATTTGTAGAAAAAAGAAAGAGAAGCAAGATTACGAGGATGTGATAATGGTTGGCTGCAAGAGCAGGTCCAACTATTTTTACAATACTTTTTGCGCTTTGTCTAAAAGAGAAAGAAAAGAGAAAGCGCATCATTGGAAGATCCGCCCCAGTTATGGCACGGTATTCCATACAAGGACAGATTTGTCATTAATAGAGAAAAAGAATAGAATCCGAAGTAAAAAAGTGTTGAACACGATAAAGAGATGCAACCTTAGTAGATGCTAATTTTGTAATCGATTTGATATATGGTTTCCAAGAAAGATCAGAAGTAAGAGTTAATTCTAGAAGTGGAAAGGTAGATGACTCATCTAGTGCATTACCGTTCATAAAAACAGGAAGATCTAAGTTATTGTGATAACGATTGGTTGCAAAAAAGTTCACCAGCCACTGTGAGCCCCATGTTGTAGCAAAATTAATTTTGTTAAAGTTAAAGCTCCTTGTAAATAGATTAAACATTAATTTTGTTAAAATTGAAACTTCTTCTAAATATATTAAACATTGAAAGCGTGCTTTCAATCTACTCTAAACTTGTTCAACATAATACAAGCTATTTAAATTAACATGTGTAACACAAGTGATAACGCATATTAAACGTTTTGTAAATATTTCCAGTAAATGTTCCAGGTTTTTAATTCTTGTAATATGTAGAATATTTAGGTTATTACGAGGTAGTTAGCTAGTTGACTTGTTTTCTTGACAGCCCTAAAAATTTACTTTCGCTCTTTGATTTATGTCTTTTCTCTTATTCTAGCATGTGTTCAGTTTCTCCTTTTTCTTCCTTAGGTGGTTAAGAACATGCAATCATCTTTATAAATCTTTATGGCTTGTGTTCCAGACAACATTCCTGTCACTTTCAAAAACTCCAAAGAACATTCTGACTACTCCATCTATTGTCCAATCAGTTTTCATTCTGTTATTAGATTGTTTCTGACTGAGTCACCTAACAAATTCTGTAAATTATGCAGTCATTATGAGTAATGTTGTTTTAGAAAAAGAAAATTTGGTGTATAAGCTATTCAAAGTTAGTTTCACATATAAAGTTTCAAAGATAAAGAATATTTTCAGATTTTCTTTTCTTATAAAACATGAAATGTTTTATAAGAAAACAAAATCAATGTTTTAAAGAAAAAAAAATGAAAGTTAGGTGATCATCTATGCCATCTTTAGACTGATGTTTTACAGTTGTCGTCCAATGTAATAATAAAATAATATTATTATCATTTTATTTTATTTATTTGTTTTAATTTAAATTCACCTCCCCAAGCCCACTACAGACAAGTCTTTATATATACATATTGTAAACCTTTATATATACATGTATGAATTCATTATTAAATAAAGATTAAGACTACTAAGTTGTAGTTATAACCTTTTTTAACTCTATAACTCTAAAACATGAACCTTGACTAACAAGGCTACTGCGTGGAGAAACAATGGAAAATGGGAATTGAACTTGGAACCTCTCACTTATGAAGTAAGCGCTTTATCACTTGAATTTCATCACTTGACCACTTTACCACTACCCCTTATATATTGTATTTTACTAAAATTAGTCTTAAGGAAAATCTTAAGGAATAGTTTTGTTCTATATACTTTTTGTCTGTCTCCTAAAGTTATGTTGGAAGTTGTCAACAGCATTATTAGAAAAACAGCTCATTCCACAGTCAAGCTACTGTTAAACAAGACAAAATGCTTTTACTGTTAAACAAGACAAAATCCTTACTGAAGGGATTATCTTTTTTCAAACCTATTCGGAATACCAGATATTTTTCACATTTTTTATTTTTTGTGGATATTCAAATAGTTTTCAAAAAGTATATTCAAATAGTATTCAAAAAGTTAAATTTTTTTTTTACCATCAAATAATTAAAATAGCAAAAGTATTGTTCATCAATTACTTTATGCTATATTTATTTAGGTAAGGCGCTATTCTTTACAAATAATTTTTTCTTTTTGTACGCATATATTTATTAATAAAGGGATTTCCAAGTGCCGAGACAAATTGGAGTAATTTCTCAGCTTAACATAAATAAAAGTTTTAACAAAATTGCTCAAATTTTATTCACATAAAGCTGAGTAATTATTCAAAAAACGTTGAGTAAAAGCAATTGCTTTTTATTCACCCAGCCTTTTTAAAAATGTATGTATTTAAATAATAAAATAAGTTTTTAGTTAATTAAAATTATTGAGATAATAACAAAAAATTTATTGTTTTGGCATATATTTCTGCAGTAATTATTTAAAAAAAATTAAAGATTTTTTTAAAAATAAATACTGCAGAACTTACCTTCGAGAAAAAAAATGTTGTTATAAAATTATTTATTAAAAAGTTTTTTGCCTATGTTTTGATAAAAACTTTGTTTTGCTTATGTTTTGATAAATACTTTGTTTTGCTTATGTTTTGATAAAAACTTTGTTTTGCTTATGTTTTTAAAAAATACTTTGTTTTGCTTATGTTTTGATAAAAACTTTGTTTTGCTTATGTTTTTAAAAAATACTTTGTTTTGCTTATGTTTTGATAAAAACTTTGTTTTGCTTATGTTTTTAAAAAATACTTTGTTTTGCTTATGTTTTGATAAAAACTTTGTTTTGGAATATTTAAATAATATGAAGCTTGTTTTTTAAGGCTTATTTAAGATATGTCAACACTCAGCACTTAGATATCACTTTAATTATTTTCACTACTTCATCTAAATATCTAGTTTAATTTAATTTATAAACTCTATTGAAGTAAGCAATAAACTACTTTTCTTTTATATAGAAGAATATCTGCCAAAGATTTTCTTTTCAAGCACATGAGATATTCTTATATACACAAAGCGTTTTCAAGGCGTTATCAGGCTCTTCAGAGATTTTGATCCTTGTGATAGAAAAGGCTAATTTTTATATCTGGTTACAGTGATTTATCAATATACTTTCTGCTTGTTCCTACTATCAAACTTGCTGAATTTATTAATCTGATAAAATATTTGTTACTACCGACAGCATGCGAAACCATCAACACAACCTGGCATGATGTTTATATCATTGAGTTGAAGGTTATCCTTGGAGCTCTAAAATTTAGTTTAAAAACCATAAAAACCTTTTTGGGGAATGTAAAGCCACAAAAACTTTACATTTTTCTTGAAAATGTCACAAGTTTATTTTGCAGGTTTAACATAATACTTTTTATTGTGCTAGATATTTTTCCTCTTATTAGAATGATAAATTTTTAACTTGCCTGTTTTGTTTGTGCATGTCTTTAGTAGATATTTGAAGCCTTGATATTTGCAATCCTTCAGAACTAACTTTATATCTTATAGTTTTTATATAAAAAATGTCAATGGTAGAAATTTAAAATTCAAACATGGTATGATATATTATAGATCCAATATAATATTCCAGTAAACACAGATTCATCTTAAATTGGTTTATATTTAGTTTAAATTGGTCAAAAAAAAAAAAGATTAGCAACTAATTATTGATCAAAGCAGATGGGTTTGGATTTTCATTTTAGGCTTTTTAATGTAAATTTGATTTTATATTTTTATTAAATCTTTTATACTTTTTAAAATCTTGAAGAAACATTTACAATATTGACTTATATAAGCCACAATTGTAAACGTTTAATAAATGTTTAATAAATGTGTACTTTAAGAGAATTAAAGCGTACATTATAAACCTATTAATCTACAGGTTTATTAAAGGTCAATTAAAAATTTATAACATTGACTAACATAAGTCAATATTGTAAACATTTAATAAATGTACATTAAATGTATTGAATTATATATTTCAAATCTTTTATTACATTTTTATTTAGTGTCTGTCAAAGGTTTTCAATATTGATAGTAGTCAATATTGTAAACCTTTTACATGTATGTATACATACATTTATATATACATGTATGTATACATACATTTATATATACATGTATGTATACATACATTTATATATACATGTAAACCTTAAAATATACATATTGTAAACCTTTATATATACATGTATATATACATTTTTAAATAAAGATTAAACACTGCAACAAACTTTACATAAAACTGTATATATAAAGTTTAAATGGCTTTATATCTTTCATATCTTTAATGGCTTTTATTTTAATGGTTTAAACTCAACTAACACATCAAAAAATTGTATTACCACATTTTAATACGTTACTGAAAACATTTGGGTTTATAATTTAAAAAACCAAATTTTTTTTTTTTTTAATACAAAAGCCTGATTGTTGTTAAAAAATAAATATGCAACAAGTAATCTTGTGCCGCTTTTGGCACAAGATTACTGTAAATCACTGAAATTTGGTTAAGTATTCAGTAAAGTGGTTTTTTTAATATGCATTATAATAATATATTTATATATTATATCATAAGTATATTTTATAATAGTGTAGTATCTGATAATATGAATACGCTAATTTATATTATTATTATTATTAGTTATTATTTATATTATTATTATTATTAGTCGAGTTATGTCATTTTCTAGGCTTTTCTATTTTAAAGTAGTTTCTAGGCTTTTCTATACGCGGTTTTTTTTCATTATTATATCATATTATATCATAAGTATATTTTATAATAGTTTATAAAATATATTACACTATATAAGTTTATTATTATGTTTTTATATAGATTAAGCAAGACTAATAAAGAAAAAAAATATTTTTTGAACAAGAAGAACAATTTAAAACGTTAAATTTCAGCTTACATCTAGAGACTTTATATATATAAACTCTTTTTCTACATTTAATAATAAAAACAAACTAAAACGTCAAAAATATGTTTAAATCTTGACATCTAAAGAAAGTTTGTTCTAAATGTTTCATTTTGAACGGATAATAGACCGAAACTAAATCTTTACTTTTTTTTAATTTGTAGTAGATGTTTTTAATTTGTAGTAGATTTTTCATACGATTGAAAAAAAGTGAGATTATGATTTACCCAGCCCTCCAAATCTTACCCAGCCCTCCAAATTTGGGTCGGCATTTGAAAATGTGCCTAAAGTTGGCAATTTTTTAGCGACCTCAAAATTTTAAAACTTGATTTTATTTGCTGTTTCAAATAAATTAAAATGACAAAACAAATCCTTGATTTAGATACTAAACAAAGTAATTAAAATGAAAGCAGTAAAATGAAGGTTTTATTTTTAAATAAATTTTACATTTAAATATTTTTAAAAACATTGTATGTTTAAATAAAACATTTTATTTTTAAATAAAAAATTTAAAAATTAAAAAAAAAAGAATAAAAAAAAGCACACAAAAACTTTTATTGAGATTCCAAATAAAATTATTTAAAAAATGGCAAAACATACATATTATTTAAACTCTAAATAAATTAGTTTAACCTAAATCAGCAAAGTGAAAATTTTAATTTAAAAAAAAAATTTAAATTTTTTTTAAATTTTAAATAAAATAAAAAAATTAATAAACAAACATTTTAATTAAATTCTAATTTAATTTAAACAAAGATATTCAGAAAAAAATGAACACTTTATTCAAAGTCTTAATAAAATAATTGAAATTAAAATGTCATAACAAATGTTTTAATTAAATTCTAAATACAACTTTCTGTTTAAACTTTAAACAAAATAATCAAGATAAAAATAAAATAAAGATTATTTAAGTTCATTCAAGAACAAATAATGTTAAAAACATAACAGCCAAACAAACGATTTACTTATTTAATTAATAAAGTCATTAAAGAAAAAAAGAAAAAACTAATTATTATAACCTCCAGTAGCAGCCAAAGTTTTCATACTTATTTATGTGTTATTTTAAGTAGTCAAAAAAATCAGTTTTTGCCACATTTTAAATTTGACAAATTTTTAAAAATTTAAATTGGTTGGTTAAAAATTTAAGTATTGTTTGTTAATTTTTTGACACTTTCAGATAAAAACAGCTGATGTTAAAACATCTAGATGCACATCTACTGGTGATCCTCATTTGAAAACTTTTGATCAGCATTACTACAATCATTTTTATGTTGGAGATTATGTTTTGGTTCAAAGTACAGCACGAAACTTTAAGGTTGATATTTTTTTTAGAAGTATTTAATATATTCTAAAATGTTATTAATTTATTTTAATATTTGTATGCCATCATAGGTCCATGTTCGAACATTTGCTTGTGGCTCAGTTTCCTGTAACTGTGGTGTAGCAGCACAAGAAGGTGATGATGTTATTGTAATAGATATGTGTAGAGACAATATTCCTAGAGCAAGATTTGCTAGTACTGTAGAACCTCAATCAGGAACAACACTTACAAGGAATAACAATGGAAAAAGTTTTATGGTAAGCTTCATTATTCATGTTGAACATTTAGTGACAACTTTATAAAAGATAAAAAAAAAATCCAATTGGTATATAATTAAATAATCTAATTATATTACATGTGAAAAGTATTATTACAAATATTATATTAGTACAATTTATTATAAAAATAAAATATTTATTTTAAAATTATATTGTTATAAATAAGCAATTACATTAAAAAAGTTAAAAGCTGAATATATATAAATCAGTGTGAAATATAGTTAAAGTGTTTGTTGTATAGGGTAATAAAGAACATTTAAAGGCATCCAATACAATAAAAACATATAAAATACAATAAAGATATAAAATACAATAAAGACATATAAAACAGACTTAAAGTTATTTACTGATCATGATGGTTAAGTGTCACGATTATATGTAGCTTTCAAGATTTTATTTGGGTGTCTCAAAAGTTTATTATAAAGTTTGGGTGTCTCAAAAGTATATTTATTTGGGTGTCTTGAAAGTTTATTATAAAGTTTGGGTGTCTCAAAAGTATATTTATTTGGTTGTCTCAAAAGTTTATTGTAAAGTTTGGGTGTCTCAAAAGTATATTTATTTGGGTGTCTCACAAGTTTATTTGGGTGTATCAAAAGTTTGCTTGAGAGATAAAAAAGTGTTTAAACATTTTGTATTAATCAATTCAAGATTAGTTTTTAAAAGTCAAGAATGATATTGAATTGCGTTCTTACTTCTTAAATATGACATTGTTTGTGCAACTTTTGGTTATGATCCTTTATTGGTGGGTGACTGAAATTTACTTGAGCCTTTTTTTTTTGTATTAAAATATTATATTTTATCTCCCTGTTCTCTTTGCTTTTCTAACGTTATTGACTTAAATCTATTTAATCACACTTCATAAAACTATTTTCTACATATACTTCTTAACACTAGATTCCGAGGGGTTGATTTTATAACTTTTAGCTTTTGCTATATGCATATTAAAAGTTTATTAATATTGCGTGTTTTACGAAAAAAACATACATGTCCAAATGACTTAAATTTAAAAAACAAGCAAATGCTATTATATAAATTTTGTAGCAAAGCTGTCCAGTCTACTCAGCATGTTTTTTGGTTTGTGCTGATTGAAAATTTTTCGACCCACCTGATGGGGATCCCAGTTTTCCATAGGCGGGAACCTTTTTAGGCAAAGTGAATAATTTTACATACAAACACAATATTTAAGTTATATGAGTTTTAAAGGAGATGCAAGATCTCTGTAGTTTTTCTATCCCAGTTAGACAGGATAATTTTTATCTATATGAATACCCCTAAGTTTGTAATATTTTAAATGGAGATTAGCTAAAAAACAATACAGCAGATTCATTAAGTTTCCTAACTATTTAAAAATGATTTTTTTTTACAGAGTATTTTTTGTGCTTTTCTTGCAATCTTATTTCCATGGTTTTACCCTTTTTATTATCAGATATAAAGACATTCTAAATTTTGTTTCAATGGCATTTTTAGAATATAATAATTATAACAGTAATAATATTAAATTGATATTAATAATAGTAATTATTAATTTAGAATGTAACAGCTTTCATAGCTTGTTGGTTGATTCATATAATAGTTATAGTTAGAAATTTTCACTGTATACATAAATTTACATTTTTCTTTGTCGAAGTGTAGTAGCCATTTTTCTTTCTATTTGGATTTTAATTAATGAGATTTGTTAACTTCTTTTTTAATACTAACTTCTATAATAAATTCTCTTACTTTAAACTTACTTAACTCTAAGTAACTTAAACTTACTTAACTTTCTTAATTTAAACTTACTTAACTCTTACATTAAACTTACTATATAATAAATTCTCACAGCTGTTTTTATTTGAACCAAAATAATTTTTGTAGCAAAGCACTGTGGGTCAGGTGGTAGACTAAAGTAAAAAAAAAAAAAAACATTCTCAAAAATTCTTGTATACCATTTTGTATACCATATATATCTTGTATACCATTTTGTAGTTTAAATATCCATCTTTTGTAAAATGTATTTATTTTGGTATAATTATCATGCAGTTTGCATTTTAAACTGTTAATAAGGAATTAATTTTTTTTTCAAAAAAAATTTTTTTTTTTTGCATAAGTAAATAAAATCAAGTATTATTTTATAAATAAGCTATGGCAACACTATTTTGCACTTAAGTTATGTCAAATAAAAGTTTATGTCAAGTAAAATGATTTATTTTTATTTTGATACTTTTTTCAGTTAAAATTTCAATAATATAGTCAAATACTTTTGACTATATTATTGTCAATGTATTGTTTTGACTATATTATTGTCAAATATTTTTGACTATATATGTCCGCCTAGTCTCTATTAACAATTTTTACAAGTTAAATGACATATCAGATTTTGTGGCAAAAACATTTTATATATATAATGTTTTTGATACATAAAATCTGATACATCGTTAAACATGTAAAAATCATTAATAGAGATTAGGCGTAAAGCTGCAGAGTATAAATCAAATTTATATTAATAATGTACATATTGGACATATTTAGAATAAAATGTATATGTATTTTATTCTAAATGGTTGTGTAATGTTGGTCTCAGCATAGCTATATTACTGCTACAAATTTGTTTTATAATTTATGCATCTTAAAATACCTATTTATAATATTTTGTAAATTTAATCTTTATTTTTAGATGTTTTAAATTTCATGTTTTAATTTAGTTAAAAATTGAAATATATTTAAATTTATTCATATAAAATACAAAATAACAAAAAGCTAGCTGTTCCTAGTATTTTGGATGCAGTTGTAAATGGCATGAACTTGACTGCAAATAATGACTTGTCAACTTTCATGAAGCATCTTTGACAAAGGTGGCATATGTAGCAAAAGCTCAAAAGTTCAATACAAAAAGAATAACAAATAATGGCTACAAAATGAACTGAGTTATTTTTTTTTTTTTTAAGTTGATTAAAGTGCCCCAAGAAGTCCTTACGGTCTTATCACAGAGCACCGTGGAAGAGCATTTGATAGGAAGTTAACTCCTCCTTCCCAACCGATGTCGCAAAACTTGCCCAGAGGTGGGGTTTGAACCACGGATCTTTCGTTTCTGAGATAAGTGCGCTACCACTGCGCCACGGCTGCTATAAGTTATCCTACTACTTCCATTGAATAGGATAACTCTGCTCTTATTCCAACTGTAATATCTGGCAGACCCAAAGTTAATTTTGATAATTCAAGTACCAAAACAAAGAAAAGAAGCTTGGCATCATTAATTTCATCTTTTTCATCCTCATAACTATTGTTTGCATCAGGTTGTAGTTTGCGAAGATGGTAAAGAAAAAGAAGCTAAAGCTGCCTTACAATTAGCTGAGTATATTGAGCCAAATTTAACTGTAATGCCTTATACGGCAGAAAAAGTTCTTGCTCTGATACATGATTGTGGAGGATCTAAGGATTCATATCAGTAAATTTGTTTGAATGCAATTGAAGCAGGCTGTAAACTATATCCTCTTTATAATGCTGTTCAAGATGCAATAGGGCAATGATTGCCAAATAATAGAGATAGTATAAGTGTAACTGATTACTAATCTTCTGTTGACAAAGTTTGTTAGACTGCACTGCTGCTCGACTAGTTATTCTGCAAATTTGATTGAATTTGATGGGTCACAAAAGAATATTGTTAAGCTTAATCCAAAACCATTATCTACTATGTACTGTCAGTATGTACAGTTTAGTTTTAAAAAGGAAACACTTGAAATTATGAAGGAAGAAGAAAGGTATGGCACTCTAGATATTTATAATTTTAATTTTTGAAATTATAAATATCTAGAGTGCCATACCTTTTGTGCCAAAGCTTTATTTCACTTAATCAAACAACTGTTTACTAATCGGTACATTAATGAATGTCAACAAAGTTTGCAGTCAACTATTTAAATGGATGATATCATGATTAATCATGTAATTGAATTGACATTAGTAGATGGAAAGGTTGCCACTGCTTTGTATGATGTAATAAGTTCAAGTTATTCAGTGTGTGGTACCATGCCTACTCAAATGAATAACAATTACCTTCTTACTAAGACACATTTACAACCTGGTGATGGTTTTAAGTATGGTCTATCAACATTACATTCTTGGATACATTGCATGGAATGTGTCCTACACTACATACAAACTAGGTATTTGTAAACATCAAGCTAGATCAGTAGAGGACAAGATTTCTGTTAAACTAAACAAGAAAACAATACAAGAACAAATAAAACAACAAATTGGACTTGCTATTGATGTCCCTAAGTTAGGTGGTTCACGGACAGGAAGTTGTACAACAATTTTCATTACCTTATGGAATGGTTCATGAAAAAGCTCAAGAATCGTGCAATAAGGATTTTAAGAAATTTCGAGAGTGTTTTTCACGCAAATGTTCATGTAAAACACTAACATGGTTGTTTTAAGAAGGCTTCTTTGTTCCTCAGATCCACTTATTAGTAGTTATAGAAAAATAAATTTAAACAAAAAGAAAACCATTTGAACCAGAAGTGATGCAACTTTTAAAATTACTTTCATTTCCTGTTCAGTAGTAACAAAATCCATATAACCCTCTTAATACCTAAATTTTTTGTATACATAACTAAAATTAGTTTTTGTAAAAAATTTAAAAAAATTACTGTTTTTAACCTGAACTGTTGCTAGGCATTTCAGGTGTCCCTATTATCAAAATAAAAAAATCCAATAAAGCCACTACATTTGAATTATAAAAAATACTCAATTTGATAATTATGGGTGTAATACAATAAATAATTTAGTAGTTATTTTGTTTGTCGAGTTAATATTGATTTTGGTTATTAAAATAAGTGGTTGCTAAGCATTTTAGGTATCCATTGCAACCCAAAAAAAAAACTAATGTCACCATTAAAATCACAGTCCTTAAATTAGTAAAATGTGCAAAAATGGTCTTTAAATTTTTATTAATAAATGATGAGTTATTAGTTTTGTCCAATAAAAGTGAATTCTGGCCCACT